CTTAAAGCAGTTTCTGGCAAGCAGTTCACTAATTGTATGCACACGCCCTCCAGCGGATTGTTAGAGAACTATAAGTTTGGAAAAGCAAGCAGTTCATTTCATACAAGCAGTGGTTTTGCAGTTGTGGAACCAACTTAAATATAAAGTAATATATTCCAATTTTGTTCTGTACAATTAAATGATTTCGACAATTAACTAATCAATTTGTTTTCTCTTTTATTTGCAGGTAAGCAAATTGATTGCAAGTCTTAAACGTTGTCTATGTGTGTGTGAGTACTATGTAAACCTTCTCCCCACCGCCGCATCAAAGAAAACATTATCCACTTTCTATCTATCTCTCTCTATCGCTCTGTTTATCGCTGTCCTTCCTGCATCATAATAATTTATTACATGAATCGCCAACTAACTTGTAAATAAAACTAGCCTAGCATCCAAATTCAATAATTATAATTTTGGGTATTATATCTGCATGGCAACTGGACTTATAAATTTCCCTAAAAAAAAAGGGTTTAAAGTTTCTGGCGATAGGCATTTTATCAAGCAAATAAAATACACAGTTTTAGGGGGAAGCGACAGCCTGTCAGACAGACTTTTTTATGTGATTTTATTTCATATCTCTGTGCTGACTGGAAGTTTTTCAAAGTTTGACTATGACCGGAAATTGTGCGACAGATAGCAGCACCATCAAGAGGTTCTTTTATCATTTTGGAATGAAACATTTTTGCATTTGAAGTTGGAGCCATACTAATAACGTTCTTCCTTCATTACAATCGATCCATTTAAGATTTCAATAACATTTTAGGATCTCCCAATACTAGTCAACTATTTCCCATACGAGTCCTTATTTATGGCCTGCAGAGATTTGATCCTCAGAGATTATTTGAACGTATACATTAGTAGATTTCTTCTCATAAATCCTAGCGAACCTTTAGTTACAATTTCAAGTCCATTGTCATGCGGATATAAACATATTTTCTACACTTAACTTTAAGTATTTGTTGTCTTTTCTCTTCCTCTCTATCTGTCGCTGTCTCTTTCTCTTTATGCTGTCCTTTCAAGCTAATTGTGCTGTCAAATCAGAGTCCACAGAAACCCGAAAACGTCGAAAACCGAAGCGAACCGAGAAACCCGAAAACATTGTGAACATCAGATTACGTAAATAGAAATAAATGAAAAACAATTGGCAAATAAATTTTGGGCTTTGGCGCGCGGTAAAAGTGGCCAAAAAGGCAGCATCGAAGCATCGAGCGATGAAAATTCGCCGATAAACTGCGAAAACAAAACGGTAAAGCGATTAATTTACCGCGCTAACCCGACCCCGAGTTCCACTACTTTTCTCTGGCTATCTGCGAACTGACTGCAAAATTTCTTTTCAACGTTTTTTTTTTATTTGGTTGTCTTATCTGCGATCGCAGTTTTCGTGGGGCTCCCGTTTTGGCGGCCTAGCAGCCTCGCTCCCGCTCTCACCAGCTGCTGCTGAGGATTTTCCTTGGCTTAGCAGCTCCATTCACCTAATTTTTCACCAAAAAACAGCAACAGACTTAAGGTGTACCCTGATATAAGGAGGAGTATATAAGCTTTTAATGGACAGCAAAATAAATTTAATTTGCAATTTTGGAATGTTCTTTATCCTCAAGAAGGGAGCATGGAGGTTCTCCATTAACCAACCCTACCATAATGCTGCTCTTCTCTTTGTCTTTTGGCATTCTCTTTTGAGCACTTGTAAAAGCTCTCGCTGAAAGTGTATACAAAATCGCATGCTCCAAAATGGTATACTTTTCATGAGTTTTCGCTTTTCTTTTTTGAAAACTTTTATTTCCTAGTTGGCTGTTTTTTTGTACGACATACTGAACAGTGGCAGCAGCAACAATAATAACAACAAAGAGTGGAAAACACAATGCCACATAGATGAAAAGTTGAAAGGGAGCGGGGAGAGGTGAGGAGGAGGGTTGGGGGCCTTTGGGAAGTGGAATAGTTGCATGTAATGTGCATTTAATTTGTTGTTGCCTTAACAATACAGCAGAGTGTGGCACACTGCAGTGGCACATGAAAACAACACTGCTGCTGCTTTGACTCACTATTGTCCATAGTTTTCAAAGAGATTTTCACAATTTTTCCCACATTTTGTTGTGCATTTTATGCTAATCTTCCATTGTTGTTGTTATGTAAGATGTAAAGAGAAAGAAAGGATGATGACAATTCAGTTGGGAGTGATGAAAGGATGACACTGTACTTTTAGGGGGGAGGACTCTGGGGAAACTATGGTGAAAAGTCAAGTTTTTTGAGTGGTCAGGAAGGAAATACTTGGACTTGGTGTGACGACGCGTTTTCTTTAGGAAGGAAGGAAGTCGGTAATTGTGATAAATAAAATTTAAAAAAAAATTGTCAGATAATGACAAGGCATAGAAAAATGAGTTAGCAAGAGCTTTGATGTCTGTCGATATTTTGTAATAGATTTAAATAATGTCTTAAGCTGAATCACTTCTGTGAATATGTGAAATGTGTAGTATATCCTCAGTTTTCAATCAACCCATCTTTTGCATGGTGCCGGGAAGTAGTTCCAATTCCTGTTTATTTTCCACTGCTCTGCTTTTACCATTTCCGTTCTACTTTTTTACAGTTCTTCTCCTCAAAAAGCTAGATTATCTTTGAACTCTGGGGTCACATTAAAAAGTTTCCTGCAACTTGAAATTAAAAATTAAAATGTTTGCACAGCACACACAACACACAACACACACAAAAAAACACGACAAAAGTTAAACTTCCAGAAGAAAAATTGTTGCTGCAGTCACAAAACGGAAAACCACAAAAGCTCGAAATGCAGGGGAAACAAAATTACTGTAGCGGATGATCCGCAAAGCGAAGGGAAAAGAGAGAGAGTGAAAAAGTGCAATAAAAACAGTTTTGGTCTTTGTTGTGTTTGCTTTTGCGGCTGGACTGCAGCTGTCTTTATGCCCTTTCAAATGGTTGCATGATTTTAAGCAAGGTTTTGCAACGCTGAAAGCAAAGCCGAAGAAATAAAGTTCTTGCCATTATTAATTTTGGTTTGAAGATGGTCGCTGTTGAAATATAAATTTAGGAGATAATCCAACCAAAAATTACTATGCATTAAAAAAGTTACAGCCACCGTACGTGTATGTGTATAATCGAACTGAAAGTGTATTACAAGCTTCGACTACTGCTCCATCTATGCATATCGGTGCTGTGCTGTGGCCTTTTAGTTGTTGCTTTACGACGTAAAATCAAGTCATCAGGTACAAGGTGTGCCAATCCCAGAGCCGCTGTCTTAGTTGCTAGTTTCACTTTCGTTTTTATGCTGTGATGTGCTTTGGGGGAGGGAGAGAAGCTTCCCTTCGAGATCTCCTTACCTGCTACGTACTCAGCTTTGGCAAAGCTAGCTACCTGGCTTCAGTTGTTGATTCAATTCTTGCATTCTCTTTGCTCTGCTCCCGTGCACTGTTGTTGCCTGCCTTCGGGTTAGTCTTGTAATTGCTGTTCTTTTGCGTCGATGTGTCTGTACGTCTGTATTTGTAGGTCTACGCAGTTTCTGCCAGAGGCGTACGTAAGGTTGGTTGTTCTTGAACCCCACTCGTGGTTTACACCCCCGCATGCTGCGTATGTTCTTTTTTCTTGCTGTGAAATTTCCCCTTTCACAAGGCTTTGATTTAAATGAATGTTCAATCCCCTTTACATTGCTAGGTACGCCCCTGTCTTTTGTTGTTCTGGTTGCTGCTGCTGCTCTCTCTGACTCTCTCCCTGTTCTGTTGGTGGTGTTGCTATTCTGTTAGTGCTCCTCGTTTATACCCGGATATGTGCATGGAAAAAAAAACACCAACAAATCTAAAGAAGACTTTTTCTGTGGCCTGCAGCAAAGTTTTGTCGCCAAATCCCCATTTATCTGCTGTTGGTCCCCAAGTAGACCTCCCTCCCTTTGCCCCATGCCTTGTTGCATTTAATTTATGCGTTCACATTTTGGAGGAATATCATCTCGAGCTGGCTGGCAATAAGGAAGAAGGGTGGCCTGGCCCCAAATGAAGTTGTGTTGTCGTCACTATGTGGCACAGATCAAACGGAGTGGAGAGGAAATGTTTCTCTGTAGCATATTCCAAGGAAATTAATTGGCTGTTCTAAGTGGATGCTGCACTCCTCCCACTGAATGTGCAACAAAGTAACTGACAATTTTCATGATATTTTTTTGCGTTTCTCTTTTTTGCTTGTGTTTTTTTGCTATTTTTCATTTTCAACGCATAAATTGCATGGGGCATGCCACATCCATCATCTGTAGTAGTGGATGGTTGCACTCTCCCTCCCAGTGGGTTGTTTATGCCGCGAATTGGAGCGCATCGACATGTTGCAGCAAATGTTGCATAATCTACACAATTTCCCCTGTTTTTTTTCTGTGTTGGAAATTAAGTGGAAATGAAGTTTGAGATTGAGTTTTTATCTGAGTGAAGTTGGAAGTTTAGTTATCATTTTGGTTGAGAAATTCTGATTTGATGGAATTTGGAATAAAATATTTGAATTTCACATAAATTGCATATAATTTTCTTTCAGTTAAAATACATTCTAAACCAAATTATTTAGCAAAAGCAGAAATTGCAAAAATTGGAATTATTATCAATTTGTCACTGGTCATTCCCAATCAACCCTCCCCCACCGTTCAATCCCCGATCACAGTTCACTTTCAAAAATCACGACTTGATCACTGATATGATGCCCATAAGGCAACATTAAACTCGACTTCAGTTGCTTGCCACTACCCCACACCCCTTCCTACCCCACCCAAGTCCAACGAAACTGTAAGCAAAAATATATTATAATTTGACAATTGGAAAAATTCAAAATTCTAAATCTAATTAAAAATATATCTATGTATCTTCTTTGGCTTCTTCCACCACTTCTTATACTTCCAATTTGTTTTTCTATTTTTTTACTTTTTGTTTTCGCCTTTTGCAACACTGTCCTATGAAAATACCAAAAATACCAAACCAAAAACACAGCTTTATGCCAACCGCCAACAGCAATCGGAAAAGGGCCTTTAGCAATCCCCATATAGGAGGACCCCACGATGTCCATCGATTAAACCCAAGTCTGTATTACTACAACAAATCACAGTCGGGTCGCAGTTCGTTCTGTGTGGATGAGTCGCTGTGGCCCTCGATTGTCAGGGCCAGCGATACGAATTTATATACCACTCCCAGTGGCAATGCCGATGAGGACTATGAGGAGGCCATCGATCAGTTCTCGCCCACGATATACCATCAGAGTCGGGCGAGTCGATCCATACCCATACCGAATAGTGCTGGGAACAGTCCGCAGCACCTGCCGCAGCATCATCATTCGCAGAGGATGGGCGGCTCATCGGGCGGTGTCAACTATGTGACGGCCTTCAGTGCCAGTCCCTCGATCTATGCCCATCCCTATTCGCCGTTCTATGCCAGCTCGCCGGACACGACGCTATCCTCGCCCGTCCAGACAACGGGACACCCAGCCCTACACCCACCAAATGCTGCATCCGCGCATCCCGCATCTCGCTTATCCTTCAGTTATGATCCTGCCCTCCAGCGTTTGCAAGTGCCACCCCATGCAGCGGGTCGTGCACGCTCGCCGCTGGAATGTGCCACAGTTTTTGCCGCTGTGGCTGCAGCTGCCACAGCATCCGGTTCCATTTTGGGGGATGTCAACACAAAAAATTCTGGAGTCAACAGGTCGGTGCTGGGGTTGACTCTTTTTTCTCATCCTCTCTGGTTGTGGGTTCTGTTTTCTCTGTGTTTCTATGTTTCCTCTAACTGTAACTGTAACTGTCTCTTTCTATTTTCTATCTACCACCTGTCTGTGTGTGTCTTTCTCTATTTTATAGAGATTATATATTATATATTTAATCTGTCTACTATCTGCCTGTGTCTTAAATGTGTTCCAACTGCTTGCCTCTTGGTGTCTGACTTACATGTTGCACGAAAAATTCCATAAATGTCAATGAAATTCTTTACTAAAACTGCTTACACATCGGAGTTGGTAAAAGCTGTCAAAAAATAAATGTTTTTTGCACATTATCGGCATGATTTAACATTGATTTTGATGGTCAAATATTGCAGCTTGATTTAGAAAATTGTATTCAAACAATAAAGAAAAGTTTAACCATACAACAAATATATTTAAAAATACTAAAAGAATTCCACACTCATTCCACACATAAATCATATCTACACCATCTTTCAGTTTAGTTTTTAATCTCACTGAAAGTTCTCTTAGTTTTTTCCACTCATCCACTTTGATGAGTCTCTAATTTCTTGAATGTTTCCCTGCCCTTTGCAAAATGAATTAAACATTCTGTCTTGAACCTTCAAATGCGTTGCGTCATTCGTCAGTTGGGTGATTCATGAAGCAATCTCAAAATGCATTCTTTCCGTGGGCCAGAGCAATTTATAAAGCCCTTCAGGTCTGCCTTCCTTTTATTTCTTTTTCCTTTTGCTTAATTATAAAATAAAATCCAATCTGTGCAAAGGCAGGACGTTGTATTCCGTTCCCTTGCCGCTTTTTTCGCTCCACAAACTATTCAATCAACATTCAACGCATTTAAAATCTTTGTGCGAATTTGACTTTGGGATCGGAATCGCAATCGGAATCGGAATCGGGTTTTGGCCCATGATGTCATACCTAAACTTGACTTCTCTCTCTCTCGCTTGTAATTCTTTGGCTGTCGTGTATCGTGCATTTATTCGCTTATGTTCTTGCCCCACCGATGGTGGTGATGATGATTATGATTATGATCATGATCATTATGATGATGATGCGTTAGCATTTGTTGCCTCATAAGCAATAAAAAAGCAATTTCTTTAGGTGGCCACAACGCAATTTCTTGCCGCCAAACTGCGCAACAAAAAAGAAGAAAAAGGGTCTTCGGGGGGCCTTTGCCCCAAACAAACCCCCCACAAAGGCGAGGCTTTGTTAAGAAATGGCGCATTATATTTTTAGGCCTCCCCACAGCGAGAGAGTGAGACAATTCCCTAAGTTTTGGTGAGTCGCAAAAATATTTCTATAAATGGCGAAAAGTTCGCTAAGGAATTTGTCTTTTGCGGTGTCAAAATAAATAGAGCTCCAGTGCAAAAAAACTATTGAAAAGTCGCAGCAGGAAAGAGCGGAGCTCATTGCTCGCTGAAAAGTTAAGTTATTAAATGTACGCCACAAAAGGAAAACCCAAGCAATTGGATGATTAGTCAGGAAACACCACGCCATACCCCCGAGATAAAGTTTTCAATTAAAGTTGCTCGGAATAATTTCCTCCCTTCCAGTTAAAGTTATTTATTTGGAGTTGCTGTATGGGAAGATAATTCACAGACAACTTGTGGCTTGAATGTGTTATCTACAGAGAGGAAAGTGTACAGAGGGAATCATCGATGATTGTTTATGATACTTTTTGAATTGGATTATGTTGATCCATAACTTACATCGAAAAGAAGCAACAGAAGCCTTATAAACCCCAAGCAGCAGTATAAGTACAGTCCCAAAGGATAAATATCGCAGAGCTCTTTTATCTCACTTTGTTTCCACATTCCCAAAAATGCAATGCAAATGCACTCAAAAACAACAAAACAAAAAACAAAGTAAAAGTAAAGGCAGAGAAGTTGTTGGACTGGCTTCCAGTGCCAAGCCAAGGCTTATCTAAGAGAAACACTCACTCAAGTTCAAGGTCAACAATCCGGAGAGAGCTCTCTGGACTCTGGGACTCTCCCTCGGCAGTTCCTTTCTTTTCTTACATGTTTGGAAGGGCGGAATGAAATGGAATGGACTCCCCGACTCGCAGTCCATATAGAATTTCAATTAGGCATCAACTCCCAAGAACTTTGCCTTTAACTCACTCAAAGAGAGAGAGAGAGAAATGTACAACATTTTGTATTATGTTTGGTGCCTCCCCTCTTACCGTGTTCGCGTCTCCATCCATAAAATAAAAGTGAGGCTCTCGATTCATTGCCGACGTTTTGTGGCGGCTGCGGATGATGTCAGCATTTATTTTTGGCACAAAAAATGCTTGCAGCCAGCAGACCAAAACACAATGCCCAAAAAACAAAACAAAATCCCAACAAAATACGGCAAAAACCGCACCGAAAAAGCCGCTAAACATGCCAAAAATAATATTTAAGTAAAGAAAAATAACAAAAATAAAGAATAAAGAAAGAAAGGAAGGCCGCCGTAGGCTTGGGAGTCGATGGTTCGGATACACTTTGCAGTTGGATCGTTTGGGGATTGTGTTTAGATATGAAAGGAAGCAATAGCTAAGGGTTTCAGTGGGATCTTTTTCAAACTACAGAGACATTAACTCGATATTTACACATGACAACATAAACTTGTCATACATTAATTTATTCATTACAATAAGCACTCCCCCCTGCTAACAAAGAGTATCCCCAAAGTGAACACTTCGCAAACCACACCACACAATTATCTTCTGAAAATGGTTTAGGCCGTGGGGCCATTGTTCAGACGAGAGTCTCTTTACGGCCAAGTGTAATGGATGTTGGCTAAGAAGCAGATCTCTCTCTTGAGGCAGATTCTTCTTGTTTACTCTTTGGCCCGTCTCGTCTGGTCTGGCCTGAAGATTTCTCTCTCACATTCGCTCATTGTGTTTGCTTCGAGCACTTGAGATGAGGAGCAGCAGCAGGAGGGAGGTGGAGCTTCAGGCATTCTGTGGTGTGGCACACTTCATCTTCAACGCTGAGATCATTCTTTGTCTGCACAAAAAAATAACCTCTTCTTTACCATAAGCATATCTTGTCAAGTCATTTCAAATTATTGCCTACACTCGATTGAAGATTTGTGGGTTTTTGTTTATTATATTTGTTTATTTTGCACAATTTCACATTTCACATTCACATTTTATTTTTAGACACGAAGCACAGATCGCACATAAATTCAGACTTATTTATAATTTATTGATTGCTGGTTGTTTTCTGGGGTTTTTGCAACAACAAATATTACAATTTGTAACCCAATTCAAAAGCCTTTTACGTAAGCCCGTGAAATGTTTACTAACTTAAATAAATATTCTCTGATTTTCAGGTATGTCAAAATCATATTAAAAACTCCTTGTGGGACTGAGGGGTAAGTTGTGCAACAAAGCTATAAAAATATAGGATTAAACACTAAATAATGTGCATAAAAAGAGAAGCCATAAATAAGCAGCTTCATCTTGAGCACATCATCATTAAAATAATCCTTAAATATTTATCAAAGAAAGTTTATACCCATCAAAAGTTGAATGTAACTCAATTTGAATCGCCTGCCCAATTATTATCCAATCAAGAGGCACAACTTTTCGCAATTCCACGCAAGAAAGAGCTCGAAACCTTTGAGTTTTAAAGCGTAGCATTGCCAAATCTTCTCTTTAAAATAAAAATCCCACAAATCATGGCCAAAAAAGAGTGAAACAAATTTTGTACAAATGTCATTGAAAATGGGTTTTTATTTCAATAAAATTTCGCTGTTTCAATTTGCGATAGCCACTAATTAAAAATCCATCAATCAGAGTCAGATGAGCCTAAAAAATGTGTAAATTATTATTTTCTCTAGCTGGTCCGTGGCTCAGGCTCAGGCTTGGTCCAAATCCATGCTTCCTGGCCCTTTCCAGACAGTTCATGAACTATAATAACCATAAATAGAGTCCATAAGGAAGTTGTAGAAGAACCCTGACTGTCTAGGCACAGGCAGTACACACACTAATCGATGTGATTACATTAGCATTAACAATAGAAATAGACAGAGACATGGACATGGACATGGACATGGACAGGGCGAAGAGCAGCGTTGACAAGGCAGAGCCAGGCCCGGGCCATAGACACACAGCGAGAGAGCTGAATGTCGACGCCATAATGTCTGGCAGCACATCGTTCACTCGTTCAGTCGTTCAGTCGTTCGTTCACTGGAAATCGTTAATTTCTTAGCCCATCCCCCAACCCAGGCAACCCCTGCGGCCATAGTTACATTTTTCCTTTCCTTTATTTTATTTTTTGCACTGCATTGCAATGTGCGGCAAATTACATTTAAATGGCTGCCACTTAAAGTGTCTATTGGGAGAGAGGAGGAGGGTTAAGGGTGAATGGGAATATGCACTGACTAACGACACGTGTGCCCCAATGCCATATTTCATTAAAGTGGAAGCTCCTATTACAGCGCGAGGGAGGCTACAACCAAAATGCAGTTTAACGATGGGTACGCCCATGCGTTCTCTTCGCAATCTGAACGCGATCTTGCCTCTCTGATAACAATTCGCTTAAATGTTCATATATTCTGTTGTCTATCGTGTGTGGCATGTCGAATTTCACTTTTGTTGTGGCTTCTTTGCGGCCTGGCCGTTTGTTCGCATCGATTAACGTCTCTGGCTTTTAATTACTTTAATCGTCGTGTTGTGTTTCCCCCTAGAATATTTCTGGCTGAGAAATGGTTGCATAAGCCCCGTACAGTGTGCGCAATTAAAAGCATTAGGAGGCGTGCCGGTGCCGGTGCCTCGACTTGACAGATTCCGATTGAACTTTAGCAACGCTCGGCAGTGATGCGACAGCTGCGACTTTGTATGCAAGGCAGAACGATCGCAGATCGGTTGATATTTTCAAGGCTCAGGGTGTAGCACCAGGTGTGGGCTGAAAACTGCTTTGGATTTGGACTGTGATGCGAAATGTCAAAGTAGTTGGCAGATTGCTGCTAGATTAAGTAT